GAGCATCCAGGAACGCCCCAATTTGTCCCAGGGGCTTCTGGGAAACGGGGGCCAACAGCCGCCAGGTACACGAACCGACGTCGAGCACGCACTACAATCCCCAGAGGGCTCCGCCCGTCCAGGGGACGAGCCCCCCTCCCCCGACCCCGCTCTCCCTCAGGGCATGCGCACAGTGGCACCAGCGGGTGGGGGAAGGGAACCCGGACGTCCAGCTGCCGGCGCCCGCCGAGCCCCGCCCTCCGTTGCCTCCGGGGCGGTGAGTCTGAGCTCCATGCCCGGAACACCCCTCCCCCACCCCTGACTCCAGCTCTAAATCTGCTTTCTCCCTGTCCCTCCGTGCCTTGAAAGTCCGGGATTCTCCTCCCAAACTGCCCTTGGATCCAGAGACCCAGATCCGAACACATCGCTCAAAGACGACAATGCTGCGATCTAGTTCGCGAGACTACGTATCCTAATTTTGATACTTCCTCCCACTTCCCCTATTCTCCTGACTTTCAAACGCCCCTGGACTACACCTCCAAACTCGCTGCCCGGCTCCAAGACCCGAACATTGAACTCTTCCCGGCATCCTCCCTTCCCCCGCCAGTGCGTCTTGGAGTCCAAGAATCCTTGACCCTAGCTCTCTCGCTTCTCCAAATACTCAGGATCTCAGGATCTCACCTCTCACACCTTTTCCAGAACACGATAAAGCCCCGAATTCAACCCGTCCGGAAGACCCAAGTGGAATCGAATCTCCAGGTTCCCTGTCTCAAAAGTTCCTTCCCTCTGTTCTCTCGCTTCTCCAAACGCCCCACGCCCCACGTCCCAGCTTCAAACTCCCTCCACTTGAAAATACTGCCCTAACAACCTCGCATCCCCTCCTGGGTCTCGAACTCAGTCTCGGGCCCCCAGACCCTCCCTATCATCACCCTGAATCTGAGGCCCCCTCCCCCGGTCTCACCCAGACCCCGCCTCCGCAAGTCTCCGGGGCGCGCCTCTCCCTCCTCCAGCCTAAGGTAAATTCCCAAGCCAGGCGACCACTCCTCACCCCAGCTGCCAGGTTCGCCACGACCACCTCCTGGAACGCCCACAGCGTCGCGACCCGCCAGTGCCGGGACCCACCAGTGACCGGCCGGGGCCTCGCTCACCTCGGCAGGGCCTCTCCGTCTGGCTTCGGGCCCACCCAGCCCCGCCCCGGAGCCGAGCTGCGAGCCGCGATTGGCTGGAGTCCCGCCCGCCGCGGGGCGTCGATTGGCTGGGCGGAGCCATCCACCCGTGCCCGGAGACGCCGGACCCGCCCACCCCACCCTAGCGCCCCGGGCCATTTAAAGGAGTGCAACTGGCAGGGGGCGGGGCAGCGCCTCCAGGGGTGGAGGGCGGCTGGTCCAAGAGAACCGCTTCCTTCCACTGGGCTACGGTCCTCGCTCCAAGATCGTCACCACTACTCCCTGCAGTCCCTTTTTGCCAGGCCTGAACCCCACCGCGGAGCCAGAGGGGCTGGCATACCCTCTGGCTCCGGGAGGTCCAGGCAGGCGGGGCCGAACAACCGGAGGAGGCCGCGCCCCCGGGGTTCCGAGGGCGGACGCCGGGGCGGGGGATGACGTACCGAAAGACCAGCCAATAGTGTGACGCGGCCCGCGTTGCCTAGGCGATCGCAGCCCCGCCCCCTTGCTGCCTTTCTCCCGCCCCCCGTACGTTACACCGCGGCCTCTTCTTAATCCTCGAGTTTTCTCAACGCGTTCTCTGGTGGTCCTACCTGGGTCTCCTGACACCTCTCTCCTTCCCCGCTCCAACAAGATGACTCCTCCGCTGCTGTTCATGGCTTCCTACCCCTCCCCCCCGAAGACAAACTTCAAACCCCTTCCTTTTGCCACAAAGCCCCTCACGACCTTGCCTGATGCGCTCTCCTGGTTCTCTCCGATCCTGCCCCATTGAGTCACTTCCAGTTTTTCTAAAATGGCTTCAAGCTCCCATTCCCCCCATCACGAAAACGAAAGGATTTTGTCTGTTTATTTTCTTCCCTGCCTTACCCCAGTGTCTACAATGCCAGGTACATAAGTTCTCAAACATGACAATAAAAGGCCTCTGGATCTTTATTATTTATTATTATTATTATTTTCTTTTTTTTGAGACGGAATCTTGCTCTGTCACCCAGGCTGGAGTGCAGTGGCGCAACCTCGGCTCACTGCAAGCTCCGCCTTCCGGGTTCACGCCATTCTCCTGCCTCAGCCTCCCGAGTAGCTGGGACTATAGGCGCCCGCCACCACGCCCGCCTATTTTTTTTGTATTTTTAGTAGAGATGGGGTTTCACCGTGTTAGCCAGGATGGTCTCGATCTCTTCACCTCGTGATCCGCCCACCTCGGCCTCCCAAAGTGCTGGGATTACAGATGTGAGCCACCGCGCCCGGCCTGGATCTTTATTATTAATAATATTATTTTTTTGCCGGGCGTGGTGGCTCATACCTGTAATCCCAGCACTTTGGAAGGCCGAGGCGGGCAGATCACATGAGGTCAGGAGTTTGAGACCAGCCTGGCCCACAATGGTGAAACC